GCTAACTACTCTAAAGGAGTTTAAGGCCTGTAGTTATAGGAAGAAGGCAAAGAAGAGGTTGCGTGTTAATAGGAGCACTTAGTCTTTAAGGCGCTGTGGCACATGTAGCAAGACAGGGCACAACGCGCGAACATGTAGTAAAGATGCGCAGAGTACTATAGACTAGTTCTATATACTATATAGTATAATATATTGTTGTTGTGTGCTGTAATGTTGCAAAGTAGGTACAGTGTTGGTGTAGTCTTGGCAAAACCCGGTCACTCGCTTGTGCCGGTCACTCGCTTGTGGAGTACGTTATTCTTGAATAATATTCTTGTATTTTCTAATGTTAAGGCTGCTAGAGCCCTAGCAAAGAATCTTAACTTAATGTCTTAGCAAGGAATATTAAGCTTAAAACCTTCTACGCTTAATAACTATTCTATTACTAGGCCTAACGTAGATTATCACCGAGCCAGCCATATCACCAAACCAGCCACTTTCTCTTAGCACAACCACCTTTTACCCTAACACAACATGCCTTAATAATAACAACTTTAGAATACTACTAGAGAAGGCAGAGTTATCCTTGCTATCTAGGCCTTCTATGCTAGCTAATTTCGCAGTATCTACAGCACTGCTAGAGCGTTAAATATACCTTATTAGTACGTCTCTAATTACCTTTGTAATATTATGTTTTAACTAGACATACACACTACTTGCTAGAAACGTACTATACTAGAGGAGCAGACAATTGTCTAGTATATACTTAAGCTTAATTTGTGAGGATTTGCGCCCTAGCTATGTAAGGTAGTAGATATAGCTAATAAGATACTTAGTGTGCGTAGTAAAGAGCCTGTTAGTAAACTATAGGCTAGCAGGCTTATAATACGTTTAGACAAGCCTAAAATAGCCTCTAATTAAGCTAAGAATAGACAGAGGATACTACAGGAAGATCCTAAGATAATTAGCACGTAGTTTAAGCTAGTAGAGGATACTTAAGTTAAGTATAGTGTTTGTAATAATAACATGTATAACTTAAATAAAACTAGGTTCTAGATAGGTGTTGCTTTGTCTTTAAAGGTTGTAACAGGCTTAGAGAGACGTGCTTAGCTAGAGCTTGTTTAGCTAGGTAATTGCGAGTAGGCTATTGTTAGCTAGAGCATCTGCGCTGCTAGGTATATAACCCTACCTTTTATTATCTACAAAGGACGCGTCTATATCTCTTCCTAGTATAAGGAGACAGATATACCCTATAATTAGAAGCTCTTAGTCTCTAAGAATAGTTAGGTAAATAAAACACTTAGCCTTAAGTAGTTAAAGCACTCTAACATATATATAAAGATGTGTTAGGTAGATATATATAGGTTGCTTATCTTTAACAGCTATAAGAGCTATCTTAAGTAGGAGTGTAAGGACTATTACCTAGAGAACTAAATCCTTACTCTCTACCTACTACCTTACTTATTGCACATCCTCTAGCTACTTAATATAGTCTATTTCTTACTATTAAAGTGTAAGTACTCCTAATATATTTAATACTTAGTATGCTAATATATCTTCTATTTTAATAAGGTAGGCTTCCTACTAGCCTTTAGGGATGTGTTCCTTAATATATTTATAAAGGTTAACTACTAAAAGGCCTTTAAGGTATTAGGGCTTATTCCTACTAATATATAGGTAGTGTTAGATTGCCTTAAAGTGCAGCTGCATACCCTAATAGCAGTACCTCTACCTAAAACACTGTGGCAATCTAAGATGCTAAGTAATACACACAAGTTTAGGTCTTAATCTAAGCTTATAAGTAACTCCTTCTAATAATTACTAAGTGTAGTATAAGAGGGGTTCTTAAAGCTTGTAAAAGGGGCTAAAGAGATGCTGCATAAAAACATCCTTATTAAGGCCTATGTGCAAGAGCTTAAAGAGCAATTAGTAGTAATAACTAAGAAAAAATTGCGTAAGAGAAAGCAGATTTAACATGGTGGCACACTTAAGTATGGCCCAGCAGCATCGCAGGTAGCTGCTGAGGCGTGTGTAGCAGCTTAGCTATCTAAGAAGACTTAGGGTGGAGGTAGTTAACTAGGAGCTTAGTTAAATGTTTAGCGCTGTAGGAACTGCAGCAAGACTAGACATAACACACAAACGTGCTAGGAGGGTGCAGAAATATCTTCTAAATCTAATTTAAGTATATAGTATGCTAGGTTACTATTTTATAGTAAGTAGTTATAGTTGCAATAATATGTGTTAGTTGTGCTAAGAGAAAATGGCTAGTTTAGTGATATATCTAGCTTGGTAATAATCTACGTTATATTAATATAATAAAAGTATATTTTATTAAGCAGAGCTACTATTGTAGCAGGACTAGGAGTTGTTGTGGCCATTGCAGCTGTTAAGACTGTTAGAGCTGTTAGCTTTAAATTAGCTAGACATTGAATGCATATTAATTAATTGTTGTAGGCCTACAAGTCCTACTGTTGCCCATAGTACAATGCTACAATTTGCCAATTTCGACTAACGTGTTTTACAAGCGAGCGCCGCGTACAAGCGAGCGCCGCACCCCACCAAACTTGTGCACCTCTCTCATCTCAACGTACAATGGCCCAACGCAGCGCTGCTCTATCAGCTTCAAATGAAGCAGACGTTCAGCTTGCTATCTTATCTATTAATTCTTACTCGATACAGAGCAATCGCAGTGCTGCTATTATCTATAGCGTACCTGAACAAACAATCCGCCGCCGACGCGCTGGCAAGCCTGCCTGACGTGATTGCCAGCCCAACTCAAAGAAGCTTACTCTGCGTGAAGAGGAGGTGATTATCAGCTATATAATCGATCTAGATTAACGTGGTTTTGCGCCTACGTACGCAGCTGTACGTGATATGGCTGATAAGCTGCTGGCTGCGCGCGGTGCAGGTCAGGTTGGCGTCCACTGGCCACGCAACTTTGTCAAGCGTACAGACAGTCCCACGACGCGTTTCAATCGAGCGTACGATAGACAGAGAGCCCTGTGTGAGGATCCAGCTCTAATCAGAAGCTAGTTTAAGCTTATAGAGGAGACAAAGGCTAAGTACAGTATCTGCGATAATAACGTCTACAACTTTAATAAGGCTAGCTTTATAATAGGCAAGATCACGACTTAGCTCGTCGTGACAGGGTTAGAGAGGAGAGGCAGGCCAAAGGCTATCCAGCCAGGCAATTGTGAGTAGGTGACGTTGATTGCTGCAATTAACGCAGCTAGCTAGTTAGTCCCACCATTCCTTATCTTTGCTAGCAAGTACTACCTCTCTGCCTAGTACAAGGAGGATATCCCACGCAACTAGGTAATTACAGTTAGTAAAAACAGCTAGACAAATAATAAGCTAGGAGTTAAGTAGCTAAAGCACTTTAACGCTTACACAAAGGCTTGTGTAGTAGGAGCACATCGCCTGCTTATTCTTAATAGCTATAAGAGCTACCACTCTCTTAACTTCCAAGAGCTCTGCAAGGAGAACAATATCTATACACTCTGTATGCCGCCTTACTTATCCTACCTACTACAGCCTCTTAACGTTGGCTGCTTCTCGCCGTTAAAGCGCGCGTATAGCCATGAGGTTGAGAGCCTGATCTGCCACTATATTAACCATATCACTAAGCTTGAGTTTCTGCCAGCGTTTAAGGCAGCGTTTAAGGCAGCGTTCAATCAATCATTCACCTCAGCCAATATCTGCTCAGCCTTTCGAGGCGCTGGCCTTGTGCCTCTCCAGCCAGATGCCGTGCTATCAAAACTTGACGTGCAGCTGCTGCGTACACCTACTCCAGCTGCTCTGCCAGAGGCTCTCTGGGAGGCTCGTATACCGAGCAATATACGTGAGCTTGATGCTCAATCAACGTTAATACGTGATCGCGTGCGGCGGCATAAGAGCTCCTCGCCTGCCTCAATTATTGAGGCGATTAACCAACTCAAGAAGGGCGCTGAGGTAATGATGCTCTCAGCTGAGCTAATGCGCGATTGGATTACCAGCCTTGAGAAGGCTAATGAGGCAGCGTTAGCGCGTAAACAGCGTAAGAAAAAGCATATACAGCAGCGTGGGGTCTTAACAAAGGGAGCTAGAGAGGATCTACTCGCTTAACGTGAGGCTGATCAGCAGATTGCTCGTGAAGAGCGTTAAGGAGGTGAGCAATTAGGCCTTAGCCGCCAGGCTCTGGCACGCTGCAAGAGGTGCAGAGAGACTGGCCATAACTCACGTACGTATAAAAAGGATACCTAGAGTACTACTTAGTCTACTCTATAATTACCTATATATTATATTATCACGTTGTTGAGTTGCAGGGCTTTGAGGTGCGCAAGTTTGGTAGGGTGCGGCGCTCGCTTGTACGCGGCGCTCGCTTGTAAAACACGTTATGGAAAAACTTTTCCCGATATAGCTGGACAGCCTTTGGCTGACCTTGTTGTTCTAAAGCTGTAACAACTGCTCCTTAGGAGATCTAGCCTATCATGAAGCCTGTCCTATTGAAGTTGTACGTGTCTTTATCCTAGATGCCATACTTGGCTTTAGTGTTGGCTACTAGGCTAAACTAGCCCTGTAGAACCTTAGGATCCTTACAGAGGGCTCTCTTGTAGTTGTACTTGCGATTATATTTAACTATAAACTCTAGGTGCTGCTTAACAAACGTACTAGGCTAGTTTGCGCTAATAGAGCTTAGATTGCGCTCAGCGCGCAAAGAATTGGCTATAATAGCTACATCTAAGAGCTGAGGGGAAATTCCTTACGCTCCTAGCTTAAGAATATATTCAACAATTACCTTCTCCTTGTTATTGTCTAGCTTCTGCGAGTTGGCCATAGAATTGGCGCGTGAAGGTTGTCCTGCGCGTCGCTTGCTTAGTGTAGCTTGAGGAACCCTGTAGATAGCTGCAGCTAGGCTGGCGGATGGGTAGGGTATGCTTTTTTACGTTTTGGCTTATAGCTTCTTAACTAGCAGAGATACGCTTACATAATCTATTATTTAATAGAAGCGCCTAGTATTGCGCCTTCTAATAAAAAAAGAATTAGCTAATTCTGCCTAGTATTAGCTAAGTTATTAACACTACCTAGCAAAGTATACCTATTAATAGGTATGCTTGCTAGGTACCCCCCCTTTTTTAACATTTTCTAGCCTCTAGCTTGTGCAGTTTAATAGTTATAACAAAACCTTCTACTATAAAAATGTAGAGGTAGTTTTTCTCTTTCTTTTCAGCCCTAGTTTGCTAGAATCTATGTATTATTGATAAGGTTTTGGGGGGTACCCACGAAGGACGTTGGAGTATACCCATTCCGCCAGCCTAGCTGCAGCGCGTCGCTGAGAGAGTGTCGCGTCTTGTTTAAGAGCCTGGAGCGCAAGCTGTGTCTAAGCTTCCTTTAACACGTCTAAATGGTGTTGTTGTAAAGACATTAGTGTAGGAAGGGTGGTTTGGTGGGGGCTTGGCAAAAGTGATTCTCTTGCCCATTGATTCTTTCGCCCGTGGGGTACGTTAAAGTTTCTTATACAAAGCTACTGATATTTGGTGGCGGTGCGGCTGCTGCGTGTGGTGATAGTTGGGCGTGGTGGAGGAGGCGTTGCAGGCTTTGGATGACTACGGGCACCCACACCTTGACGCGCAGGCTTCTGTTTGACTGTAAAAGCTTTTGAAGCTGTACAATTGCCTCTTTGGGATAATCTAAGAGCTTTCGCAGCGTCGCAAGCCTCTTTATTCTTGCATCTTTGCTCTTTGCGCGCATCAATGCCTGCGCGTTCCTCAGCACGCTCATGATCACGCACCTCTTTTGCCTTTGCAGCCGCTACACGCTTTTCTTCTGCAATCTTCTTAGTCTAGAGCTTGTTGGCAGCAGCTATGTCCTTCATCTCTGCTTTTTTTAAATCATCTGCTTGCTTCTCTTGTTCTGTAATAGCCATACAAGCGCGCGCCTCCCGGAAGGCTTGAGGAGACCACATTATTGCTCCACCATGATACTCCTAGTGCTGCTGTAAATCCATTTGCCCTACAGGCTGATTCTGACGCTTCTTCTTCTGGTATAGCTTCTTAAGTATGCCATTCAGCTCGTTGTTGAGCAGCTCTACCTAGGTTGAGAGATGGTGGATAGTTTGACCCAGCTTCCGCGCGCCTGCACGTTACACCCTTTAGAATGATAGGGCGAGCGCGAAGATGCTATAACGCTGCTGAGGCCTCTACTGGCTGCATATTGACTTGCAAATGCTTTCCGTAGAAGAACGGCAAGAACGTATCGCGAAATGGTAAGTTGCCGGGCCTGTTCAATATCTGGGTTATTAAGGCTCGAATCTCAAAGGCAAAGTGCAAACTTACATCGGACGGTGCAGCGAGAGGTCAAACTTGCGGATGGTATGGGCGAATGCGAGACGGAGTTCAGCCCATGCAAGACTACATATCGCGCTTCTGTTAGTGTTTGGTCTTCACATAAAGACAAACAAATGTCACTGACTTGATACCCAGGCACATGCGCGGGCCGCGCGAGAACGCCACAAGCCAATTGTCTAGCTCTGCGGAGTCCAGCCAACGTTCAGGGTCGAAGATATTCGGTTTCGGGAAGATCAACGTGTTGTAGTGAACAAACGTACTGCCGCAGGAAACAATTGTCTGACATGATAAGTGACCTGCGCAATCTGTATGAGCGAGGAACTGGAATACCTCTGCCGGTATAGCAATGCCATTGATGGTCGCGCCTGACAGCGGCACTACGCGAAGCAGACCAGACACTACGCCCGATGACATTCGCAGAGATTCTTTGATGACGGCGTTCAGATATGGCAAGCTTTCGAGATCGCGCAACTTTGGCTCCTTGGAAAGTGTTGGCCAAGCGGTCGACAACTCCTTCTTCAGAGTCTGTAGAACCTCCGGTCGTTGCAACAGGTGATGGGTTCCCACCATAAGTGTGTTTCCAACGGTATCTGCGCCACCGAACATAAGTGCTTGAGCTTCCTCGTAAAGACTGCCTGAAGAAGGAACGGTCTTGTCGCGAAATGCTGTAGGATCCATGAGACGGTGATAGATAGTTAAATTGTGAGGGAGCTGGTTCAGCTTCTCAGGGTCGTCTGTCAGATCATTGATCTGCTGCTTTAGAAGCTTCGCGCGTGTTAGCAGACGTTTGATCAGCCCTGCCGTCGATCGCATTGTTCAATATACATACCTGCTGCAGATCAACGAGACCGGCGGTGGCAGGACTTATGATCCTGGACAGCTTAGGAGGACAAGACATTATCATGTTCTTGTACCATTCAGCGTACTTGAAGCGGATGAAGACAGGCAATGAGGCATCCATGGCCACCACAATTGGCGCTGCGAATTCAGGCGCGTCGACTGCGTGAATCGGCTTACCAAAACAGAAGGTGCAAATGATATCCATGCTTAGGCACCGATAGGCGTAGTATAAATCTGCGCTCTTCGAAGCCTGACTTTGCCTCGTAAAGGCTGCACACAATGCTTTTGTCTGCTCGGTCACCAAGGTCTCTGCGCTAGCGATTGCCGTCTGCGAGAAAGAACGGTTGAGCACATCCTTGCGCACTTTTGACTCGCCATACGTGAGGAAGCCGAAGCTCGACCTATCTTCGCCGAAGCTTTTATATAATCGTGCTTCCTTGTCCCAGCGATTTTTGCTGTTGTAGATGTCGTTGTAGGCATGGGGATTGGCAAAATGGAGCTACACAGATCCTGTCAGCGTAAATGCTAGAAGCCAGCCACGAAAGCAGCCGCACCTCATTTGGGCCAACACGGATGACATCGCCTGTCAAAAATCAGTGGTTATGTTCATGTCGGACGTCAGACCATCTTGCCGTATCGTGCGTGCAGATCGACAAGCTCGTGACAGAAGGACCGGTTTGCTATACACTCCACGTAAGCCTTCCAGTACGTGCTCGTTGCTGCAAGCGGTGGTCCTGGGAATTTGGCTAGAGGGTGGAAGTAGATGTTATAGATGACCGTGTACACCGCGTATGCGGTAGCAGTTGCGAGCACTGCTGGCAGCAGGAGGCTTAAAGCTCCAGTTTCAAGGCTCTGCATCGTATCTAAGACAAGTTGTGACGCCGCAGAGGTGGAAAGATCGTGCAGCAAGTAGATTATCCTATGGTGATGAGCTAATAATCAGCCGACATGATGCCTAGCTAATACTGTACCGTACTTGACACATTTGTCGTGCCCCGCCCGCATGCTGCAAACGCACACAGTCACATGAGGTGCGCAAGACGTTCAATCACTCGTATCTCCAAGCTCACATCTTTGTGCTTTCGTAAACGTGGAAAATTCGTCCAACGGCATCGTTCGCATTGGCGGGAAGCCACTCCCGTGCCGCAGCTACGTCAGCGGGCGCACGAAGGATTGGTTGACAGGTGCATATTCATTTTGCTCCCTGCTGCGATCAGCCAATTGTGGGCTTTGCTGACTGTGGGACGCATGCACACGGCGGCAGAAGTTGGAAAGGGCGAGGGTGGGGCCCCTGTGGAATTGCGAGCCGTGCCGTTTCCTCCCACTATAGCTAATACAATAATTGACAGCCGGCCTTCCGCGGATTTCCTGTAACGCAACATCATCCCCTTTCTTTTCACAATGGCTGATCCTGAGGTTCAGATTGCAATCGTGAGCATGAGTCTGATTGTTGTGGGCTACTCATTCACTAAAAGCAACTGCAGGATTTAGACACTGATTCTGCATACAATGACGACGACGCGTCGTGAGTTGTACGGAAGCTGACTCGCCGGGTGTAGACTGACCAGGCTTGAAGCGAAACTACTTCTTTGAAGTCCGCTATTCTTAGCTACAAGTACCGCAATGGTCGAAGGTATCATGCATACAAAGAAGGCTCTTATTGTACGTTGCGCTTGTTCACCAACAGGCGCCGCGGCTAACACATGTAAGGGGGTCCAAACGATGAAGAGCAAGCTGATCAGCTGGATATCTTGTATGCGTCCTTTTCCGTTGGGCCGTTGGTGTGCTGATCGTGTAGTCATCACATCTGCTCACTTGTGCTGGATGGCGAGCTGAACCTCGCACCGACACCGAGCAATCCTATGGTATGTGGTACGATTCGCAGCGTTTAAACTTTGGTTAATCATTGTTTTATATGCAGCGTGTACTGGATTTAGGCACGGGTACTGGCATTTGGGCGATGTCTGCGTCCTTCTCCACTTGCATTCGAGGCGCAGTAGTGCTAACAAATAGGCAGTGACTTCGCGGATAAGTATCCATCTGCCGAGGTGTGTGCCACATACGACGAAGTGTCACAGCGCCCGCTCTAACAAGAACAGGTTCTTGGAACGGATCTCAGCCCCACGCAACCTTCTTTGATCCCTCCGAACCTCCACTTCGAGGTCGATGATTTCACTGAGCCATGGGTGTTCCGCAAAGATAGCTTTGATTTCATCCATGCGCGGTCGCTGTACGGCTGCGTGGCGGACTGGCCAGCCTTTTACAAAGAGGTGTTGACGTACGTTCACAAACGGAATGAGTACGCGAACCAGTCTGACTAGTTCAGCCATCTCCAACCCGGAGCGTACTTTGAACAAGTCGAGATGAGTGTTGAACCAAAATCTGATGACGGCACCGTGGAGCCGGGGTCAATCTTTGACCAGTGGGGCAAAACCTCACTTCTACTAGGAGACAAGTTTGGAAAAACTCTGCGCGTTCTCGATGAATCAAAAGGTAACATGGAAGCCGCTGGCTTCGTCGATGTCGTAGAACATCGGTGGAAGTTGCCAATCGGCGGCTGGCCAGCTGACAAACGGTTCAAAGAGATTGGGCAATACAACAGGATACACTGGGATCAGGGCATTGAGGGATGGTGCATATTTCTGCTGACAACGGTGCTGCATTGGAGCGTGGAGGAGGTGCAGATCTATCTTGCGAAAATGCGGACGGCTTTGAAAGATCGAAAAATCCATGCGTACCAGGAAATGTAGGTATCCTTTTCTAGCTGCGACTTTCGCATGCTAATTCGGATTCCAGAACATTGGTGTACGGCAGGAGGCCTGGACAGCCTTGAAGCTGGCCCAGATTATGCTGAAGCACGAACATCACACGATTTGGAAGAAAAGAGCTCGAAGGAAGACACACACAGACATTGAGTGGCGACGGAAACTGCGAACTGAGGATCCCTGGGCAGCCTGAAGATCGTATTGCAGAAACAGCTAACCGTTCAATGGAGTGCCACCCCAGGACATGCGTGTTGTTTGCGCAAGTGGAGGTATCTGTAGCATCTTCGACTCTGCCGGTTGAGTATCAATATAAGAAGACTTTCTGTCCATATTCCCAATAGCCACCAGGCCCTCGGTGCTCTTGTTACTCTTCAGAGACACAGTTCTTTCCATGCCTAGCTCAAGGACATCTGAGTGTGCATCTTCGTAACGTGACTCAGAAATCACTATGACTTCTTTCGTGACCGTGATCTGGCTCCAGGCAGCCTTGACTGCAGGCCAGAAGATTGGTATCGAGGCACACATGATGGCGAAGTCAACTTCCAGACATGAAAAGATAAGGACCTGCACAAACTCAGTACTGTTTAGAAGCTATGGGAAAGTAGTTGGGGATTTTATGACTCACCCCAGGTAGCCAGTATGTGTAGTCGTACATCAAAACGTCACGATTGTTGTATTTGAGACCACTCCAAAGACGTAGAATGGCCATCAATACGACGCTTGGGCGAGTCAGTTGCATAATTTAGCCCGACGTGCTTCAAGCGACTCACAGAAATCCCACAGCAAACAGCCCAGTAAGTGCCAGAAACTGCTTCCTCATCAAATTCGGTCGAAAGTACTCAGTGAGTGGCACGAGGAAGATTATGAAGTCGAGAGACATGTTGGAGCCGGCAAAAGCGAGCATTGTCGATCTTGCTTCCGTGTTCGTGCGGTATCCAAAGGCGTAGCATTTGGCCGGGGGATCCATTTGTTTGTCCCAAAAGCCTCTGACGGGGAAGCAGGGAAACCATGCCAGGAACTGGAAAGCGCTGCCCCAAAAAGCGACAACCACCGTGAGTATGATCGTGACGTGACGACGATACCCATGACTCCAGAGCCGAAGATATTGGGCAAGCAGTGAAAGCTTGATGCAAACGGTCGTCGTGGTGTACGCGGCATTTGCCACGTAGAACCACTTCATTGTCGTGGGTAGTGTGTCGAGAATCCAGATCAGATGCTGGCCGATGCCATTCTTTAGGCCTAATACATATTGTAAGTCCTGTAATTGTTGCAGCCAGTCAGAGACCTTACTTCCGAGAAAAGTAGACTGCGCGACCACGTTGAACACGGCTGCAAGAGTGACGAAGGCGTCATCCCAGCCTGGCTGACGGATAACTTTCACCCGGGTATAGAGCCTAGTGCACAATGCAACGAGGCTAAGTAACTGTCTTGTCAGTATATTATCTCGTCGTAAGAGAATCTGTCGAGTGTACCAGGAAGGGGACAGACACTCCGACTGCAACTTCGAGATGGTTTGCCAGCGGGAGTGGTTCATTGGGATCTGGCGGATTCCGCATCATCTCAATGATGATGGGCAGAAAATCGTTTACCGCAGTGTTTTGGGCCATTTTCACCTATCCACCGTGGCCACCAAAATGTTAGAAATTCACAAGTTGTTGAAGTAGATATCCCATTATTTATGCAGCCCGACAATGGTTCATCGTATTAACTCGGTAAACAAATGCAAATGTTAGAGTTTAGTCGAAGTTCTTCCACTCGGCCAAAGTTTCAATTTTTTGATCCAGCGACGGAGTGAGCCACTCATGCTGGTCGGCGGCAGCTCCGAATGAGCAACTACTGGCTCCGTGCACAAGCACCCTGATCAGCAGTTTGGTGGCTGATGCTACGGGCGAATACACACTTGGTGCGACGCCTACTGGAGTTTGGTACCGTGTCCGTGCACCCAAGGCACGGAGTCACCCAATGCACGGGGATCGCGATTAACACTCCATTTTCAACGTGCAACAACTCAACAACCATTGCACCTATTGATAATGCGCTTGCAGCAATTCGAGCGCTGAAACCAGGAGAAAAACTTGTGTATCAAGAGATAGCTGATTAATATGGTGTTGATTGCTAAACGTTGTCGCGCGCGCATCGACTCAGTCAGGTCCCCTAACGCGTCGCTAACCAGAACCAACAGGAACTCAGCAACCAACAGGAATCAGATCTAGTCAATTAACGTACCTCACGGGCGAGCCGGTCAACGGGCGAGCTGGTCACTTTTGCCAAGCCCCCACCAAACTTCACCCTGTTATGGCCCAAAACACCACACTTTGGCGCTGCACAGCTAGATAAGTCTACTTAGTAATCTATGCTTAGCATTACTGCATATGCAAGCAAGATTACATAGGTGCATGCGTAATTGTACACGTCAGCATCTACAAAGTAGGCTACTCTATCTGTAAGCAGAGTATCTAGAACATTCTCTAGTTACTAAAAATAGAGAACAACACATCTTAAGAAGGAGAGGAGATGTATGCTTAGTAAGCATAGCACTATACCTAAGAGGGAAATACGCTAAAGAAAGATTATAAGAACAAAGTCTTATAAGTTTACACAGAGACAGAGACCTAAGAGGAACTGTAATCATTAGCTGTAATATCTCCTTACGTTGAAATTTAGTGTTATACTCTAACGTATACGGTAACGTACTCCACGGGCGAGTCGCCCACACAGGCGAGTCGCCCACTTTTGCCAAGCCCCCACTAAACCTCACCCTATTATTGCCCAAAACACCACAAACAGGCGCTGTACAAGGCAAGACAAGCTGTAATATTACTTAGAGACTACTTCTATATTATTCTTGCACGTTCGCGCGTTATGTCTACATCGGGAAAAGTTTTTCGAAATCCAGCCCAGACTGGCTGTTGCTAACAGTTGTGGCATAGTCATGCAACAGCTGTTTAACAGCCCCAACAGCCCTAATTTGCGCCTAACAGCCCTAATTTCGCGCTAATGTTGCTAACAGCTAAAATACTAAGTGCCTATATTTAATAAACTTAAAATAATGTTGCAATGTTGTTGTATAGCTACCCTTAGTTCTGCTAGTACTAGTATTAAATATTTAAAAATTGCGAAATTTTATGCACAGATAGAGCGAAATTGTAGCTTTAAAATAAGTAAAAAATTATTATTGTAGGCCTACTACAACGTAAGTTATAGAGCGTTGAAGGTTTGTTTGTTGAAGGTTTGTGTTTTGAAGTTGCGACAGCACACCATGGCAGCTGCAGCTGCGCCAGCACACAACACATCAGCTGCAGCTGCAACAGCACACGACGTAGCAGCTGCAACAGCACACAACAAAGCACCTGCTGACAAGTACACTGCAGAACAGGCAGGCCTAGGCGTAGAATTCTTAGTTTACCTACTATTCTTGAATAATATTCTTGTATTTTCTAACATTTAGGCTGCTAGAGCCCTAGCAAAGAATCTTAACTTAGTGTCTTAGCAAGGAACATTAAGCTTAAAACCTTCTACGCTTAATAACTATTCTATTAATAGGCCTATAATGTTATTTAATAGCTTATTTTAAAGAGGAGACTTTATAGTATATTAATATAATAAAAGTATAGTTTATTAAGCAGAGCTACTATTGTAGCAGGATTAGGAGTTGTTGTGGCTATTGCAGCTGTTAGGACTGTTAGAGCTATTAGCTTAAAATTGGCTAAACATTGAATGCACATTAAATAACTGTTGTAGGCCTACAAGTCCTACTGTTGCCCACAGTACACTGCCACGATTTCCTGATTTCGACAACGGAAAAACTTTTCCCAATGTAGAGAGTCTTGTGCAGTGATCTAGCTATCATCAGCCCCTAGTTCAACCTTGTGCGCAACGTCAAAGCTAAATATAGCATCTAGGACTAAGATACCTACAACTTTAACAAGACTAGCTTCTAGATAGGTGTTAGAGGGTCTGTCAAGGTGGTGACAGCGTCTAAGAGGCATCTTAAGCCACTTAGAGTCTAGCCTAGCAACTGTAAATAGGCAACGTTGATTGCTGCAATTAATGCTATAGGGTGGGTTATCCTGCCCTTTATCATCTTCAAAGCAAAGAACTATAACTAAGCCTAGTATCACAACCTAAAGGATTAGCGTATTAGTGTTAGCAAGAATGGCTGGACAATAAATAAACTAGGCCTAGAGTGGCTGAAGCACTTCATCCAGCATACAACAGCCTAGACAGTGGGTAGCCACTAGCTGCTAATTATTGATGGCCATGAGAGCTACAAGTCGCTTGCCTTCTAGGATCTGTGTAAGGAGAATAAAATTATTACTCTCTATATGCCTCCTTACACCTCCTATATCCTACAGCTAATTAATGTGGGCTGTTTTGCCCTATTAAAATAAGCATATAAGACAGAAATTAATGTCTTAGTAAATAGCTATATTACTTATATTAATAAGAAAGTATTCTTAGCTACCTTTAATTAGGTGTTTAATAAGGCGTTTTTATCTAATAATATCTAATTAAGCTTCTAAGTAACAGGCTTAGTTCTAGACAACCTAGAGGTAGTGCTATTAAAGCTTGAAGTGAAGCCTCGTACGCTAACACCACCTTTACTAGGGCCTACTACCTAGCAACCTAGAACACTAAGCAACGCTGCTGAAATATTGGCTTAATTAACGCTGATATCTGACTAGATTAGGCAGCACTATAGTTTATCTCTAGCTTTAATTATTAAGATAGTGTAGCAGTTTAAAAAGGGAGCTGATATGATGGTGCATTCCTAGGTGCTTATAGCGGCTAAGATAGTTAAGCTTTAAGCAGCAAATAAAGCTGCTTCTAAGTGTAAAGCATGTAAAAGGAAGTAGATCTAGTATAGAGGAACCCTATCACAGTAAGAGGCAGAGGAAATAATAGCTGCATAAGAGGTGGTGGTGCAGGCAGAGGCAGAGAGGCGTGAGTAGGCTGGCGGATGGGTAGGGTATGCTTTTTTACGTTTTGGCTTATAGCTTCTTAACTAGCAGAGATACGCTTACATAATCTATTATTCAATAGAAGCGCCTAGTATTGCGCCTTCTAATAAAAAAAGAATTAGCT